CCCCCTGTAGTCTTTCTTGTGACCTTCTGCAATCCACAGAGAAGACAACAATGCTTATTTCACTAAATCAGCAGATCTTTCTCTCTGTCTGATAGACACAGCAGCAGAGATACGTGAACTTCAGGTATTTGCTGGAAGAAAAGAGCTGGCTCATTGGGGGGTGTGGGGGGGTACTTTTCCCCTTTGGGAAATCCCCTAGAACACAGCAGTCAAGGTGAAATTAAAAAGACACCTGTTCCCCCCTACAGCTAGGTGGGGGGGCTGACCATGTGGAAGGTGGAATGGCCTGAGGCTGGGGTTGTGCTTTTAAACTGAACGGTTTCAGCTGGAGAGAAAAAAAAGAAATTTAAGCAAACTGCTTTTGATTTCCTTAGTGCTAAGGCATTCAATAACTGAAAGTAATAAAATGAGCTGAGTGGGGAGGTCCCCTCTGCTCCTGCTGTGCCCCTCTTCTATAGGATGAGTGGCACCTATGGGAGGGGAGGGGGGGGTTTTCGGACCCCTGTGAGAAAGCTTTCCACATCCTTATGAGGTTCCGTGGATTGACAGGTGTAGCGGCTGACATGCTCACAACGCCTTCAGCACATTGTTCTCATCACAGAAAATGAATTTTCCCTCTTGGGAATATCAGTAAATCTTGGCCAGTGGAAAAACCCCATGGCTAATCTTGGCCTGCCTTTTCAGTGGAATCCCGACTCCCTGGGCACATGTTCTGCATGTCAGAACTCTGACTAATTCTTGGTTTTAATGTACTAATACCTATTGACCCTTGACAGGGGTCCTAAATTGATTTGATGCACTAGCTGGCTTTCAAGGATAAAAGGTTGTTTTTGTCATATATCAGTGTAGTACAGGAAATATGCCTCGACTCGCGCTCTTTGTCTCTGTCTGTCCGCGGCTCCTTCTGGCTCGGGCTGATTGCTTCCACATCATGCCAGCCCTTCTAGGCTAAATGTTAGCTTTTTTTTTTCTTTTAATTTCAGGGCATACAGAGGCCATACTGAGAAGCAAAAAGCATTATCTGCCTTTGTTCAGTTCTGTCCCTGTTGATTTCTGTTTCTCATCTCTCGCCCGCTTTTTTGCCCACCGGCTCACTGCCTGTGAACGATAAATGATGGAAGGCAACATCTGTCACTCTCATGGCTATATTTGGAGGTGAGGGCTTGGGTCGGCCAGGCTATCTGCGGGGGAGGCGTAGAAGGGCTCTCCCGTCTCACTTTCTCTTATAGATAGCGAAGCAGCTATGTGTTTTAATTCTATGTTTTCCACTTTTACCCATAGCTGCATCACAGTCTGTTGAGCAGAGTGACAGGAGGAATGAATCAGATTAATGACATTACTGATGAAAAATAAAATCAAATGCAAAATAGAGTGAAGGCCGCTTTAAGATCAGCAAAATGTAACATTAAATACCTAAACTCAAGGAAATGGTGCATCCGTAAAAAAGCCTCCAAAACCTGCTTGAATAAACCTAGGTGACCCCACTAACATCTCGACTAGGCAATTAGTCTAGCCAGGGTGAAATGCACTTCATTAATTGGGTTTCTGTGGTTATGAGACTGGTGATCAATGCTATAAGATGAACATCCAAAGGCAGTCCTGTGCTGTTGCTTTCACATTATTAAGTTACCTTAAAATTGCAGTTTTAGCAAAAATCTTTGCATTGCCTTCATAATTTAGCCAAAATCCAAAACGGTCCCTTCCAGAAAAACACAGACAAACTGGGCAAGAACTTTCCACCTCCCCAATGGATTTGTGTTGAAACATAGACTCTTGATTTTTGTTCTGCTAAAAGGCCCACTAAGAAGCTTTGCTTTGCGAGGTATAATCTCAACTAGCCATGAACAAACACAGTTTCTGTTCTCGCCTGCTGGATTAGATTCAGTTTGTCACCTCAGGGTAGTGTGACCCCTGCTGGCTGAAAAAGAGAATTGCATTGTAACAGAATAACAGGTTTAGATATGTGGGAATTTTAGTGCTCTCTCCCTCATATATACAATATATACAGAGAGAATGTGTGTTTATACACACACACTCTATCTCTGTCTCATATATATACAGTGTTACCTCAGTTCTTGAACTCATTAGAATTTCTTAAAAGTCAAACCAACCAGTTCGAAAAAAAAAAAAAATAGCTAGAACTCGATCTGAGTCTCAGAAGTCAAACCGTGAATGCCAACCTACGATAACTTGTACGCGCCGGGAAATGAGTCACGCGGCACGTCTCTCAGCGGAAACAAAAGGTAAGGCTTCAGTCTCAGCCTCGCATTCGCTGTGATAGCATCGTGCATGTTTACACTAGCTGAATACATATATTTAGACAGTAAAAATACATTTAGACAATGATAGACAGTAACAGTAATTATTATTATAAAATAAAATACATTTATAAATAAAGATTTCTTATTAATTAATTTAATATTAAAAATATACTATTAATACATTTAATTATAATGATATTATCGTGCCGAGCAGGGACGGAACGGAGACAAAGGCGCAGATGTCAGGGTATCGGGGAATACGGGGTTTAATTACAGGTAAGGCAAGCAAAACGCAGACGGACAATACAATGACCGGACTGGGGAAACAAACTGAAACGCGGACGAAATACAGAGGACTAATGACAAAAACCAGAAACAGCTGATCACACGTTGATTCCACACGGGGTTAACGAGGGGGCGTGGCACACGGAAGGAGCGGACTATTGGGGCAAGACACATTGTTTTTTTTAACTTTACACATTGTTTGGATACATTTATTTTCTTACTTTACAAATTACTGTTTTGATAAATGTGCTTAGATGTGTTTAGTACAGTATATGCTCTTCTTGTTTTATCCGGTTCATTTTAAATGCTAAAAAAAAAAAAAACATAATTAGGTGTCATTTTTTGGGGCCGGGAAGCAATTAATTGGTTTTCCATTATTTCTTATGGGGAAAATTAGATCACAACTCGAACTTTTTAGGATTCGATCTGGAGATCTGAACGGATTAAATTCGAGTTCTGAGGTACCACTGTATATGAGAGCGTGTATGGGTGTATAAAGAGGGAGAGAGACTTTTATTTTGGTGCTAAGTTGTGAACTGCATTTCTGGGGATGTCACACTGTGGACAGCAGAGAGACGTTGGTGGTTGGCATTACAATGTTTGCTCCTCAGTGGAAGACATCAGTGACCCATCTGGACTTATCACACACACAGAGCTCAAAGTGCACTTCAAACATCATGCCGTGCTTGCTGCCGGGAGACGCTGGCACGGAGCTTACCATCTCTACTGTTGTCAAGCCCTAGGAACTCCCCATATTTCACTGATTCTGGAGAAAATGGACTGGAGAAAATGGACTGAGAAAGGGGTGCAGAGGAGAGAGAGACAGCACTGTGGCACTGTGACATTGGTGTCCAGTTGTGTGGTTTTGCTCTTTTTGCTATAAGACTTCATGTTTTAACCCCACTGTGGAACCAGCAATCATTGCTGAACCTGCATAGATGATTTAATGGGATGTTGCTTGTCCAGGAGAAGGTGGGAGGGCTGGAGGGGAGGGGTCTGTGGTGGGGGGTTAGAGGCCTATTTGCAGCCATGCGATTCTGCCCACAGAGGCTGTAAATGGCTGCCTCCTGTTTTCAGAGGGGGGGCGGCCATGGGTTTTTCAGACGTTACTTTGCGTGCCATCTTAGTCCGCATGTGCTAGTTATGGAGCGCGGTACCGCTGTTTACTGTCACACTGAGGAGGTCTCATTTTAATCACTGCCTTCAAGTGTTAATTACCAAGAAGCTCAACTGGTTCAGAAGCCGAGCTACCTGGTGGCTTCAGGCTGTAATCAGAGGCTAATTGAAAAACCGCTAAGCGGGACTCGAAGGTTCATGATGACGCTGGGGAGTTGATGATTCTAATCCAGCCAACCTCACCACCCCCCCATCCTAAATCATCCCACCCTCCCTCTGTTCCCCGGAGATGTCTTCAGTGGAGCTCAGTGGGTCTATGTTGCCTTAGCTTATGGAGTTAAACCAGCAGCAGTGTGAGATAAAACACATTACTCATCGCCATTTATGGCCACCCAGCCAGAAGTAGGAATAACAAGACGAGTCATAATAATAGACAGTGTGCTTAATAAAGGAATGGAAGGGCTATAAAAAAATGAGCTGGTGGACCCCGGACCAGTCCACTGTGTGAGGCTGATAGTGCGAAGGTCCCCCTTACAGTCCTCCGGGCCTCGCACGTTGTACCCCGGTCCCCTCTTCTCCTCCCCAGCCTTCGTCCATATCAGCCTTTCGCTTTCTGATTTCTTTTCATTACACATTTCCAGTAGCTTTAATATTACTATAAATAGCAATAACCCTGAAAAATAATGCTCCTCCATTTACATATTAGGATGAGCACAGCCAACCAGATATCACATACTGACATTTGGAGTTACAGCTAATGAATAGGGCTTCTCCGACATTTCTATAGCTGGTAAATCAACGGACAATCCCGACATGAGATTTTGATGAGAGTGGAATTAGAATGGGAAATAGATTTGGGTTCAAGCTTCAGGGTGTGAAGCAGGGAGTAAAGACATGATGTAAGTCGTTTTAAATATCATTCATCACTTAGTTGTTCGTTCGTTCTTTTTTTAATGGCAAGCACGCTCCTATGGCCTTGTCACAATGAAATGTGGTGCCACTTTTCTAGCTGGAACCTGAAAAACGTTGATACGCTTAACAAAAAAGTGAAAAAGCCTTTACTTCCGAATGTCGTATTTCTATGAGGGTCTGTTTGCTTGTATGCCGGCATGTATGCAAATGTGTGCTTGCATAGAACTATTCTTTAAGGAAATAAATGTGTAGCCTGGCCATTGTAAGTTTGCTAGGGATATCCAGCACACCTGTGCTAATGGTATTCGTTGCAATCTCTTTCTTCATGGGCCAAGGGCACCTGGCTACTGCATTGAAATGTATTGGTCCTTTGAGGGATCAGTCTGAATTTAATCTGTGTAACCAGTGTGTGTTTGTGATTCGCAGGAACACTTCACGCCAGAGTGCAAGTTCAAAGAATGCGTGTTTGAGAACTACTACGTGACATACTCCTCAATCCTGTACCGGCAGAGCCAGTCGGGTCGGGCTTGGTACATCGGAATCAACCGAGACGGACAGGTCATGAAGGGAAACCGGGTCAAAAAGACCAAAGGGGCAGCCCACTTTCTGCCCAAACTCATTGAAGGTAAGTCTCTTCCCTGGAGCTGCTCCTTCTCTATTTGCTGCCTCTTTTCTGCAGGTTTCTTCTCCCAATGCCGCTCTTTCATATTCTGAAAAAAAAAAGCTATGATAAATGGCTTGGCTGTCACATGACAGCTTCTATGAAACATGGAGTTTCTGTCCAAACCTGTACATGTCGAGAAAGACCTCATTATGCACAAATCCATGGGGCTCTTTCTGACCGGTCCTGGTCCACCGGTCCCGTTACGCTTGGTAGCTACTCACCAATGGATTTTAGCCAGCAGTCACAGTTTCGGGTTCTTATAGGCACATGCATTCAGGGAGCACAGTGAAATTTAAATGATTTTTGTTATTTTGCTGGGGGTTGGATGCTTAGTGGTGTTGGGGGGGGGGGGGGGAGAGGAGGTTGGACAAATGCCTCTGCAATACAGAGAACTAAGCTGGATGCAGTCGTAATGTAGGTGACGGTTGATTATAAGATGGTCCTGAATGCTCATGTCATTGAATCAAGTTTTTTTTTTTTTAAAGCAGCTGTCCATTCTCCAAGACTGCCGCATTATTAATTCTGTTGTGTATTCTTTCCCTGGTCTCCCATGGTCCCTGCACAGTGGCCATGTACAGAGAGCCATCTCTGCATGACATCGCCGAGCAGAGCCCACCAAGGAAGACTGCCAAGACGTCTGACTCACCTGCCTTGCAAAACAGCAAGAAAGATCCCCCCAAGACGAATACATCCTAGCCCACACAGATTTGGGGGGGGGGGGGGGGCTTGGTTCAGGGTCCATGGCAGGGAAAGAATTCTTCAGTTTCTCAGCCATTTAGAGAACTCAGTTCCCCATCATGCCCTGGGGTAAATGGAAGACCTCCAGGAATGCTTTACATAAAGAGTGCCCACACCTTCACATCTAATATAGTCCACCCAACTTCAGCTGGGATGGCCAAGCAATAAAAAGTAGAACTCAGAGACAGAACTGTGGCACCTTCGAGTAAAATGGTAACAGTAACAACAAGGAGACATGCTGTATGTTGAAAGGATGACCTTTCATCACTCATACCAATGAGCAGTCAGACAGTGCTCACTGCAAGAATCAGCTTTGGTTTTTATCTGTCCCCTTTTGCCTACCTACTCAGCTGCCTGATCAGAGAGGTCACCAAACTGACACCCCACCTCTCCTGAGGAAGCTACAACCACAGCAAGCCTGCATTAACCTGATTGTGTTACACGGTAGGGCCAATCTGATTCGGCTGCGTGCCTGAATTAAAAGGATAAAGTTCTACCCAGTAAATTCGATGAGACCCTTTGTAATCCCAACCTCACTGAAGAAAGCTACATTAATTTAACGCCTGTGCTAACCCACGTGAACCCTACCCTTTCCAGCCTGCAATAACAGAAAAGAGCTACGCGCATTACAAGCCTATGCTATTCTGAGTGGCACTGACTCAGAATCATTAAGCACGCTGGCCGCCGCACTAATCCAAGGAAGCTACACCTGCTGCTTCACGCTGCGCTCATCTCCAGCGGTCGTTCGCCTGTGCAAAATCAGGGAAGCCACGTGCTAATGAAAGAAACTACATTCAGTGCAAACTTGAGCAACTTGGGTTAGCTTCTCCAGCACAAAGGCTACACAGAAGATTTCCTGCTGTCTTGAATTTGCTCCAGTCAACATGTCCCATGTCTTCCAGAGCCCTGTGTTCACCTAAGGGCTCCATCTGTTCGGAAAATAGCCACATCCTCTAAAAGAGTGAATATCTCTGGAGCATTTCCTGGTTCCCAAGCCATGTTATTGCAGTTTACCTGCTTTTGGCAGTTGGTGATACAGTTTATCCCAATACTATTGTCAGAATCATCAGAATCAAAATATAAGGATACCTGACTCGTTGTGTTGTTTGCAAAGGTTTTTAAATCCATCAGCACCCTGCTCTAAATTGCCATACATTATCATCATCACACATGTTGGCATTAAATATTATTATTTGGTTCAGTTTTCCCCTCAAGGCTATATTTTTTGCCATTTTGGTAAATTGTGGTGTCACACCAGCGCCATCATAGCTACTATCTTTATCTGCATATCTCTTTATCTTCTTTATCTCAGAATGTCATTGTCAAATTACGAATCTTTTGTGTGGTCCAGGTCCAGGTTGCTAAGGAGTTTTCTCGTTAATCATCAAAATGAGATTTAAACTGAGGCACACTGACTTATACTGGGCTACTGTTTGTACTGTAATGTTGTCATGTGTGTACAGTAGTAATCATTATTAATTATAAATCCACCCTATGAGTCCCATAGCCTAGTTTAAACACGGGTAGCCCAAAATGTATCTGAAGAAATGCAATATACCAAAGTGTTCTAATACGTAGTGGTAAAGACAGCCATAGTTTGCTCTATGTGCATTTCAAAAAATCAACGCAATAACTTGACTCTTTGCTCATGAAAGACACTGTTGAAGGATAAGAAGGTCAGTTTGTCTGATAACTTCTGGAGTGGAAAGTTACTCCATGAGTGTTTTCCTCAAAGGTGTTTGAGGGCCAATTAAATGCAGGCAGAGCTACTTGCAAAACTTCCCAGAAACAATCGAATGCTACAGGAAGCTTAAATCAGCCACTTGACTCACTTCTCAGGAGAGGGAATACAATTACGCAGCCTGTAGGGCTGGGGGGTGGGGTGGGGTGGGTGAGCTGTGGTCTCTGTAGTCACTGCAAGGCAGTAGTGTTCAGGCAGGTCAACTAAGTTGTGCAAAAGACTGGGAGGCCAAGGTCCTTTTGAGGCACATGCGCACTTCAGCGTAAATGACAGTCCCACCGTCTCTGCATTTTCTAGCCTCTAGGGTCAGGTTGGCTGTTGAAATTAGCTCAAGACTAAGTCCGCTGGGTACAACGTTGCCTAATGGTTACCTGTTTTACTTGACTAATGACTTCAATTAGGCAATTGAGCTGGGCTACTGTTTCCCAAAATGGGACGCCTCAAGGCTAGAAGCAACACAACTCCACATTCAAATTACACAGATTCCAAATTATTGCATGCCCCCCGACATTAAATCTGCTTCTAAAATACTTCTCAGCTACCCTAAATAGTTTGAAATAGGAAACAAAGATTGGAGCAGATTTCAGGAGAAATATGAAAGAGATTAAATGAGGGGAATGTCAGAAGTTTGGTTTGTCTATAGCGTTTATCTACGTCTGCATCATATGTTCATGTATCTTTCCCAGAAGGACTTTGTGCACGATTCATTGTGCCGACTGAGTGCTACAGTGTGAACCAATCCTTGAGAAACAGATTAGGCATTGTGTATTAAATCATGTCTGGAGAGAAGCATGCTCTAATTCCTAATTCCATTCTCCCGCTACTGTTTCTGCCAATCAATGTAGGCCTGTGTCTCTGCATTTGTAATTATAAATGTATCCATTAGCTCTAAGTGTGAATGGGAAGACTAGACGAGAAAGTACCATTTAGCAGTGTTGACAAGCTGCTTCAAGATCCCTCTTTTGGATATTATTTGAGCTCCGAAGTTCCAGTCTTCAAAGGATTACAGCTGCCTGAATTGTTTACTGCGGAGTTAAATAGATGCACATCTGCATTCATGTCTGTGTGTCTGTGGTTCCCCTGTTTCACGTTGGACAGTGCAGCCATAAATGTGTGTTCCCCTGTTTGGGATGACCTTCATACGTGTGTAGAGGGAGACAGGGGCACCCTTTAGTCAGGGAAGGCCCACAGATAGGCGAGTGCTTTGGTTTTTTGGGCCTGGCTGGGCCATTAATAGACACTCGGGCTCAGTTCATAATTGTCGAGTAATTGTGGGTTTGGTTTGATTCAGGTACACCCATCAATATCACAATGATGATCTGTCCCTATGAGGAGATCGCCACTACAGAATGTAACAGGTGCTCAGAGAGGATATTCTGATTATTGCAGCAAAAATGTGTTTTAATGTATTTAAAGTCAATGTTTTGAATATAAAACCTCCGTATTAGACTTTGATTTTCAGGCAAGCTGTATTTTTACTTCATCTTCCCCAAAGAAAATGAAAATCTGATCATGGGAGGAATCATGGTGACGAATGTCATCGTACTAACTCACAGATTCATCCTGGTTCTGCTCTGGGGATCGTTATTACGATTTAATGTAAGTGTAATTGCCTCATCATTTTCAAATGAGTGCATCTGGGGGTTGCACTGTCGTTGGGGGTGTAGGTGATTTGGGACTGCAGAAACTGCCTTAGCATTGTCTACAGAGGATTTTACTCTGGTGGAACAGATAGCATGCTTTGGTTTAATGACCTGTCATCAAAGTAGGAAAAAAAAGCCATTTAATTGTCATTTAACTGACATATCTAGCCAGGAACTAATCCTGTGGTTACTGGTCTGCTGTAATATTTGTCCTCAGCCTGAAAGTCGACCTCTTGAGTGAGTATGGCTTTGCAGGTGATTCTGTGTGGTAGGTAGATGTTGAAGAACTGGTAGTGCATGAAAATGCTGTTTGCAGTGAGGATGATGCTAAGGATTACCTGGTCATTCCTGCTGGTTAAAACTCTCTCAGAAAAATGTCTTTTTAAGACCACAGAGATTCTGCTCACTAACTGTATGTGTACGTGTGCATATGTGTGTGTATTTTAGGTGTGAGACAAATTAAGGACCTATATAAAGAAATTAAGATGGCAATAGTCAATGTTAGTAGGCAATGGTTATATAAGGCTACTGTGACATAAATGATATGAGTGGAAATATTTGCTTAAAAGATGAATGTGTCAGTCCCTCACATTTATCTTCAATGTTCACATGGCTGCTGATAGGTATTGTGTCTGGTGCTTTGGAGAGCGCACTCCCATTTCTCACATCTGCAATGCAGCAGAATAACAAAAAAAAAAAAAAAACTCACCGTCACTAAAACCAGGATCCTATCCTCGCATATTTAATCATCCAAAGGGCACCGTACGACCCATCTGAGCCTCTGTTGAATGTTGCCTGTAGGGGGAATATCCATTTTTCCCACATCTGTCCATGTGATATCAGAGCAGAGAGGAGAGCCCACCTAGAGTGCACGCTTCCCCTGAGTGCCTCAGAAGGTGACCTGTGAGCGCTGTATCACCATGGCTGGCCGCAATCCTGCCATGTTCGCCGGCATCCTGTATTTCACTTCCGCCTTTGATCGTTTGATCACCGGTAACCCAGATTTACCTGCCAAGGTCACCCACCATCCTCTGAACTCACTTGCCCTCGAAGCGTTCCGATGCCATTTTGCCCTTCCTTAGGAACATGGCCCGGATTTTTGTGCCACCTGGTCAGTGCAGCAGTTGTACTTGTTAATTTGCAAAGTTTTAGCTCATTTTGTTTGTTTGCTTTTGTCATTATTTTCTTTACAGTGTGTGATATTTACCTTTTCTGATGTAATGTGCCAATTCTAAACCCCGGCCAAAGGAACAAAACACAATTACTTAAAGAAACAAAAAGAAGAACATAAATCTGCACCTTTAGGATGCTGTTGTGTTTTTGGAGCTTGAATCTGATGAGCTGTCAATCAAAAACATGCCCAGCCCCTTCATCCGCAGTGAAACCGAACAGCACCCATTGCTCTGAGAAGCATTTGCTCACATACATCTCTATAGCTAACTGCGTGACATGCTCCGTGATCGACTGGTGGGGTGTACTTTTCAAAAAATGAAAGCGCTTCATCTTCTTCTGGTCTTCCAAACCATCCAACAAACAAAAATTATACAGTCTTCCATCAAGAGCCAGGGGGACTT